TATTGGTAAAATAAATAAATATAAAGTAATAAAGTAGTTTTTTTTATTATTACATTTAGATCAATCCAAGCTTCAGGAATTATTATGATTTTTCAGCGTTTATTTCTTGGAGGCACATTGGAATTGGAATTGAATTACGTCGTCGTAATTGACTGTTTCATCTTTTACGTGTACAGTTTAGATGAAACAACAAAGAAAAATTGTATCGGTGTTTAATTAAATGGAAACGATTGAGGATATATTGCGAAATAAATCGCAAAACCATTAATTTCTTATTTAGGAGCTTTCCCGGAGTCTTATTATCTTAGAGTTGAATTATATTTAGTTTTAAACTGTTTTATACCAAATTGGAAATTTAGCAATTAAATTCAAGCATCAATTTTTGCAACGTTAAATAAAAAACACAAAGAATTAACAATTTGGTTCTTGGTAAAATAGCTATAAACAGCCAAATAGTACCATCAAAAAAAAAATAGTTTATAGAGTCAATTTTGTGGCTCGTATCACATCTCAAGACAATCAAACGTCCCAAAATAAAACAAATCCATCGTTAAAACTTCCCGATCGGAGTAAAAACTTTGAAATTAACAATTCCATCAAAATGGACTAGTTTTGAAGCACTTTGTACATAAAGTCTGCAAGTCTCGATTTCGATTTGTTCCTTTTTCGAGCATTGTTCCAAACTAGATAAAAATGTGATCCGGAATTATTATGGTGCACCAGTAGAGCAAGAATTTGATTCCCGTTTCCGTTTCCCCATTTATAATATGATAAGCGGATTGTAACCGTTGGAGTTTGACCAAGAGACAAATTGCTTACTCGTGTTATTCCTAAAGGAACGATTCGTCCTCTATATATAAGATCGCCTTTATCTCTAAGGACACGACGCCGTCTTAACACAGAACCGATATCCTGTTTTATTGCTCTAATTAACTCGACGGAAGGATTGCAAATTAGCGAAAGGTTCGCGTCAGGACCAACTTCCGAAGCCATTTGTTATGAACGATAAAAACACACATGACCGGAAAACGGATGTCTGGGGACCAATTAACAATGTCAAGGAAAGAGGAAAAATTGTCATAACTGACACAACATTTTATTATTTATTTATCGATATGTTCTACAAAATTCCCACATTCTGTTTTAAATAATAAAATAATATCCCGGCTTGTTATTTCAGCAGCAGTTTATTTTAGTTCCTGATTTTCTATCAAATAGCACAATTATTTCATGCCGCTGTGACTCTAGCATTTTATACATTTATACGATTTTTATTCAGTGTTATTAACAAAATTTACTACATTTTAAATAAACTAGTAATTATGTTTCCATCAAATTTTAAGCACATAATACTTACCACATGTTCTTTCGTTATTATATTTTTTATGCTGAACTGAAAAAATAATGAAACTATCACGTGCAATTTTTTTTTTAATAAATTTTAAATTCCCTGTTACTTTGGTATTTAATAAAATTAATAGTTAATTAATCGCAATTGCCGTCATTTTTACAATAATTAGGTACTAAAAACTGCATAAAATCAATAATAATAACTATTTACCAAAGAGCAAAATCCAGCTTTAAAGTGACCTAAAAAACGTAACGTAAAAACGTAATAGTAAAATTGCAAGAATTAAATAAGTAACAAAACGCAAACGTAAGTGTCAAAAACGAAGACACAAAAAAATATTGAAAAAAAAATTACAAAAAACTCAGACTTTAAAGCGTAATAATTAATCGTTAGAATCGTAGACGTAGAAACGTAGAAAACTATAAAAACATGAGGATTTTAAGAAAAAGCAAAATCCGGCTTTGAATACACCTAAAAAACGTAACGTAAGAACATAATAATAAAACCGCAAGGATTAAAAAAGTAACAAAACGCAAACATAAGTGTCAAAAACGAAGACATAAAAAAATGTTGAGAAAATTACAAAAAACGCAGACTTTAATAATATAATTAAACGTTAGAATCGTAGACGTAGAAACCCTAAAAGCATAAGGATTTTAAGAATTTTCCAAAGACCAAAATTCGGCTTTGATGTCACCTAAAAAACGTAACGTAGAAACGTAATAGTAAAATCGCAAGGATTAAATAAGTGACAAAACGCAAACGTAAGTGTCAAAGACGAAGACAAATAAGGAAAATATTGGGAAATAAAACTAAATTTTAAAAAATGCAGACTTTAAAGCGTAATAATTAAACGTAAGAATTGTAGACGTAGAAACGTAGAAACCGTAAAAGCATGAAGATTTTAAAAATTTACCAAAAAGTTAAATGAATACTTTAATAAAATAAAAAAATGCAGACTTTAGCGCCTAAGAACGCAAACGTAAGAGTTGAGATAATTAAAATGACAATATAAAAGCATGTTTTCGGATAAATTTTTGTTTCTGTAAATCGTAAACATAAAAAACGTAAAAACTGAGAATCGTTAAAACGCAACCATAAAATTGTAATCTTAAATTTTTAGCAAAATCGCCACTTTGCACAAAAGACGATTTTTTTACAAAAACATATGTTTTACAACGTGTTCCTAAATTATTTTCATCTACATAGTCGATTATGGATTTTTCATGTAAAATAAAAAATGCCGGTATAAAAAATATTAAACCTAATTAGTAATTACCTTCAAATGTCAATTTACTTTGATTATTGACAGCTGTCACTGTTGACGGAACTATCTGATTCAAAAAGAGCAGAGCGGCACACAAAAATTTACATGTAAAAAAATTGTATAGGTAAACACTTTAAGGCACGTTTTATTATTATTATTAACATTAAAACACAAATAATAAAATTGCAATTGCTGCCATTTTTACAATAATTACTTGAAACTGCACAAAAATTAATTATAATAACAAATAAATAACAAAATAACTAAAGTCACCTGAAAAACGTAACGTTACGTACTAACTGAAAGATAAAAGGCAAACGTAAGTGTAGAAACGTAGAAACATTAAAAAAATATTGAGGAATAAAAATATTAAATTTAAAAAACGCAGACTTTAAGGATCAAAAATAAACGTAAGAATCGACGTTAAAACGTAGAAACCGAAAGAACGTAGGGATTTTAAGAATTGAAAAATTTACGCATAACGAATTAATAGTTCAAAACGCAGCAACATAAAAATAGGGTTTTACGAATAAAAATATTAAATTAAGAAAAAAAGAATAAATAAAACGCAGACTTTAACACGTAAAAACCTTAGCGTTAGAGCTAATAACATAAGAACGTTAACTTATTACTTA